GTCAGAATGGCTAAGATCAAAAACACTGAAGACACCTTATGCTGGAGAGGATGTGGAGCTAGGGGAACTCTCCTCCACTGCTGGTGGGAATGCAAGCTTGTACAACCACTTTGGAAATCAATATGGCGCTTTCTTAGAAAATTGGGAATCAATCTCCCCCAAGATCCAGCTATACCACTCTTGGGCATATACCCAAGAAATGCTCAACCACACCATAAGAGCACTTGTTCAGTTATGTTCATATCAGCATTGTTTGTAATAGCCAGAACATGGAAACAACCCAGATGCCCTTCAACTGAAGAATGGATAAACAAAATGTGGTACATATACACAATGGAATACTACTCAGCAGAGAAAAACAATGGCATCATGAGGTTTGCAGACAAATGGATGGATCTAGAAAAAATCATCCTGAGTGAGGTAACCCAGACTCAGAAAGACAAACATGGTATGTACTCACTCATAGCAGGATACTAGACATGAAACAAGGATGACTTGTCTGCTACTCACATCACCAGGGAGGCTACCTGGAAAACAGGACCCCAAGAAAGACACAGGGGTCACCCAATGACAGAGAAATGGAATGAGATCTACATGAACAGCCTGGACATGAGTGGGGGTAATGAAAGGCGAGGGTTGAGGGAAAGAGAGCTTGGGGGAGCGGGAGATCCCAGCTGGATCAACAACAGAGAGGGAGAACAAGGAATAGGAGACCATGGTAAATGAAGACCACATGAGAATAGGAAGAAGCAAAGTGCTAGAGAGGTCCACAGAAATCCACAAAGATACCCATACAACAGACTGCTGGCAATGGTCGAGAGACAGCCCGAACTGACCTACTCTGGTGATGGGATGGCCAAACACCCTAATTGTTGTGCTAGAAACCTCATCCAACTACTGAGGGATCTGGATGCAGAGATCCATGACTAGGCCCCGGGTGGATCTCTGGGAGTCCAATTAGCGAGAATGAGGAGGGTTTATATGAGCGAGAATTGTTGAGACCAAGGTTGGATAAAGCACAGGGACAAATAGCCAAATGAATGGAAACACATGAACTATGAACCAATGGCTGAGGGGTCCCCACTGGATCAGGCCCTCTGAATGGATGAGACAGTTGATTGGCTTGATCTGTTTGGGAGGCATCCAGGCAGTGGGACTGGGTCCTGTGCTCATTGCATGAGTTGGCTGTTTGAAACCTGGGTCCTATGCAGGATCGCTTGGCTCGGCCTGGGAGGAGGGTACTGGACCTACCTGGACTGAGTCTACCAGGTTGACCTCAGTCTGTGGGGAAGGCTTTGCCCTGGAGGAGATGGGAATGGGGGGGGGTTGGGGGGAAGGTGAGGGGGACGGGAGGGGGGAAGGGAATCCGTGGCTGATATGTAGAACTGAATTGTATTGCAAAATAAATTAATAAAAAAAAAAAGATAGAAAAAAAATCAACCTATGCATTTTAAAGACATGTAAACCTCAGAATGGAAACCAGGATATGTGTTACATTAGAGAAGAGGTTTTGCTTTTGTTTCTACAGGAGAAGAAAAGGTATGGATACCAGCAAGATTGATAAAGGTTAGATTCAAACAGGAGAGCCTTCCTGATGAGGAGGAGCGATAGTTCATCAAAGAACTTGGTCATTTAATCTAAACTAACTTATAAGACTAACAAATGCTTTTCATTTGATCAGTTATAAAAATATTAATAATAATTTTTATTAGTAGAAGATAATGCTTTATCTTAACAAAGATATAATCTTCCACAAACCATTTTATCTTAACAAAGATATAATCTTACAGAAAAGGAAATCTCAAAAATTAGTGTTGGGAAAGGGTACTGTTTTTGTCTTTCTGTGAGAATGAAAGCATCTAATTAAGGAATCTGAAGGCCACTGGACAAATATGACATCTGAAGCAAAAGGACAAATTATCCTAAGAAAAATGTCACAAGAAGAAAAGTAAAATTGGCCTAGTAGTATAGCACATTTCCCGTCTTTACTTCCCTCAGTGATGCACTGTGACCTGCAGTTGTAAACCAAATAAACCTCATCACCTTCTAAATTGTTTTTGGTCAGAGTGTTTGTCACAGCACCAGAAATCAAACTAGAACAAAGAGTTTGAAGAATTATCCAGTTTGCTGGAGTGGAATTTCAAAATAATGAGTAAGAAAGGTGAAAGAGAAAATAAGTGCCTACATTTCAGCAATTAAGTATTTCTAACTGTAACACACACACACACACACACACACACACACACACACACACACACACACACCACTCCTGTGCACCCATACACATACTGGTTACTATCTAATGCTATAAATATCTTCATTGTACCAATACTTTTAGGAGAGTCCAGATGTCCAGTGCTACATTTGCCATTTGTGCTTTGGAAAAGAGGCACTGAAGAGGTAGATACAGGAGGATCATGAGTTCAAGTACAGCCTGGGACCTATGATAAGATTCTCTTTCAAAAACTCCAAATAAATAAATGGGAAGAGTGGCATCTCTTCATTTTGTTACCATTATCTTTATATATTAGCATTTATGAAATACTAACTAGTAACAGAATCATAGCATCATGTGAATTAACATGATATGTTTTAAAGTAAAATTCATGTCACAGTGTTACTTGTGGTCATTTATTGCATTTAGTCTATGTAATTTGACAGTATCACATCTGTTACTTTCTCATTGCTGTAACAAAACAACCCGAGGATGGAAGGATTTATTTTTGCTTGTGATTTGAGTGTACAGTCCATCTTGGAAGGGAAAACACAGCCGTGGGAGTATGAGGAGGCCACTGCTCACATTGTATTTATAGTTGGCAAGCAGAGAGATACATTCGTTGCTTCTCTCACTTTCCTCTTTTATTTTAGTCTGGGATCCCAGTTTATGGGATGGTGATACCCACATGCAGACTGGTTCTTCCATTCTCAGTTGAATGTCTCTGATACCCTTACAGGGTTTCCCAAAGCTGTGTCTCCTAGGTGATTCTAAATCCTAGCAACTTGACAAGAAAGATGAACTATCTTTCATCAAGCAAACATTTTTGTTTTGGAAGAGTCTCTATAGAGGTCTCATGTTCTGTATGTTTGATGAGTAGATTTCTTTAATTTGAAATATTATTTACAAGTACTTTTATAACAAATAGTTTTTAAAGATAGATATGGAGTTTCCCTCTGGATCAAAGAAGAGTATGCTTGTTATTCCTCATGAAAGATTCTATCTCCCACAACTCATGGTTCATTTTCTGTAGTAAAGTCTGCTGTTCATGCTGACACTCTTTGAATCACAATCCTGGAACCAGCCATAAGATGTCAGTACCCTCACAGTGCTAGGATGTGAGGGCCAGAGTTTCCTGTCTCTGACCTAAGAGTCCGTGTCTCTGCCAACATCTGAGGAACTATAGCATACTCATTCCTCAGCTTGCTCTTAGAGTGAAACTTTAAGCTGTTGTTCATTATTCTTTTAATTTAATAGTATTAATTATTTTGTGTGTGTATGACCTGTGAGAGAGCATGTCATGACACACATGTGTGAAGTTAGAGGAGTTTTCTCAGGAGTCTGTTCTTGCCTTCCACAGTGTACTCCAGGCATCCAACAAGGATCTTCAGGCTTGTACAAGTTCTTAAAGCACAAAGCTTTTGGTCAGCTCCCTTTCCCTAGTGCTTTGGAATATGCAATATGTAAAATAGTTTCATTTGAACAAATGCACATTATAATGAAATGAATATAATGTATCTCTTCTGAGGTCTCATTGACAGACACCACTATTTTCTTTAAAATCATATATCAAAGAAAAGGAATGGTCTAACCCCTGATTTTTTATTCCAGAAGCTCAGAAATGGAATATCCCTAAAGACAGGGGCCTGTATGACCATAGAATGTTCTTTCCTGCATATTAGCTTTAATCTGGTGACACGTTTTCCAAAAGCAAGTGACATTACAGCACAAGGCAGTGCCACAGATTCTCAAGGATGTGGCAACAGCGGCAAGTAGAAGGCCAGGTGCCAGTGTTCTCACAGGTTTCAGATCACTGTATTAACATAATAAATTTGATTTGGTTAGAACATCAGCTGATAAAAGAGAAATAAAATGTGGAGGTTGAAGCGCTTACTGAGACAGGTGAGGATCTTTCCTCACTTGGAGATCTCTCGATAGCGGGGCACATTCTACACAGCTGTTGATAATCCACACTGGCAAGTCTTAACGGAGTCTCCCCTTTACAACCTGCCTGGCTCACTCTACAATTCCCCACTCAACCTTTACCTCACTTGGTCAGTGAAAGAGAGCAGACATAAGCAGTAGAGGATATGTGATCACTTGGAAATTTCTCCTGCGAGTAAATGCGGCACTTCATGGAAGAGCAATATCCCACTTAACTGATATTACCTAACCCTTATTAGAATGTTTTCCTTTGATGACATTCTCTTCCACCCAGGGGCTTAAAACCCTCTTAAGTCATGTGAGTAACTGAAACCTTCTAATGAGGACAAAGAGAAAAGAAATGGAAAATGACGCTCTTATTATCCACCTAGCTTGTTCAGGACTAACCCAGATTCTGAACCTCTCCTCTCTCCACCCAACCTATTCCTTGGGTGACTAGCCATGTCCTGAAAAGATCTGCCTCACCAGTATTTTCTTCAAACACGTTGGAGAGATTTCAACAGCCAGCTCAGGGGCATCATCTCCAACATGTGGGTACAAAGAAGCCAACACTGAGTAATGAGGTGAAATTTACCGGCTCACTGCACTGAGTTACACAACCAAGACCTCGCCCTGCCACCCCAAGTCTCTCCCAGTTATTTCTGGAATCCTCTTGGTGGGCCTCACCTGTATGGTCTGCAATCCTCCTTGCTTGTCCCACACAATATCCACTGCTGCCTGTCCCTGTGGGGGCCTTGATCCCAACCACTGAGCCCAGCTGTCCCCACTTCAGACCTGCAGATGCCCAACTGTACTGTGTGAGCCCTACTTGTAAGTGTAGAGAATGTTCCCTTCTCCATACCTGTTATGGCTGTTCACTGTCACCAAGGTTTCAGAGAAACTGTGAATCTGCCTCCCCATCTATCAATGTCTTCTTATTCTTCTTTTTGTCTTCAGTTCTTTTGGCAGAACTGAGCTGCTCCTAGTCCATGAGCCAGGCTGGGAGCCAGGCACATGGTACCTCCTGTAACTCCAAATCTTCTAGAGCAACTTCTTTCTCAAAGGTCCTCCGTCGCCCTGTGGATTGACAAGCATATAGGCCTGGAGGTTACTTCCCCATCCTCCTTATCATCCTCATGCCAATCACTTAACATCAGTCTTCTTGAAACCCAAGAGTGCACCTTATTTTCTGTCTTTTGCCATAATCCGAGCTGAGGAATCACACAGCATATGAGAACAAGGAGATAAACAGCTGTTGACTCACGGTATATACGAATACATGTCTTCCCTGCTGTAGACAATCAGAAAGTGAAGGTTAACTAGGATCTAATGTGCCCGTGGGAACAAGGGACGAACAAACAGGAGCCTCTGTGGATCATTTCATGATTTCTAGAGAACAGAATGAACTTACATTCATCATTATTTTACCAAGAACCTCTTAGCCAGTGGGATGGGGACCATGCTGCTTCCTGGTTTAGATAATCACAACCAGTATTTGTCCCTGAACCCAAGTCATCTCGCTCATGCATCCTAGTCCCATGTAAGCCATCCTGGTGGTGAGCTGCCTTCCTTGTCATGCTTGGTCAAGTACTCACCTGCTGCCTCATCTTCACCAAAAACTCATTTCCAATGGCTCTTCCACAGTGTGCATAGGCCAAAGGGGAACTTCCAAAGGAGGTTACCTTGCCTTTAGCTGTTTAAGGACTTCTGAACTCAGCTAGCAATGAGTGAGTCAGGGGTTGCTACGGCAACGGCAAAATACTCTTTTCAGCTTGTCTGCTCCCTGTCAGGCTGGAGAGAGGCAGTAAAACACATGCAGCTTAAGAGAACAAACCCATCCCGTTTACTTAAGTTCAAGTTTTCTCATCATCCAAAGAAACAGAAATCTTGGGAGGAAAGTTAAGGAGCTCTGTTAGGAATCACTTTGGAAATGGAAGTGAAAAAGAACAGATGTTCCCAGATGCTGAATATTCTGATAGGTTTTTCTTGTCAACTTGACACAAACTAGAGTTGCCTGGGAAGAGGGAACTATAATTGGAAATTTTCCTCCATCACCTTGGCTTGTGGCATGTCTGTGGGTCATTTTTCTATTATCACTAACTGATGTAGGAGGGCCCAGCCTATTATGGGTGATGCCATCTCTGGACAGGTGGTCCTGGGTTATGTAAGAATGCTGGTTGAGCATGAGCCAGTCAGCAGCATTCCTCTGTGGATCCTACCACAACTCCTGCTTGAGTTCCTGCCCTATTTCCTTCAGTGATGTGATAAGAGTATAAAAGAAACCCTTGGCCTCCCCCAGCTGTTTTGGTCAGTGTTTTACCACTGCAACAGAAAGCAAACTAGAATGTTGAGGCTTGCAGAACATGTGTTTATGAGTTCATAATAATAAAAAAGTGGATTGCATGGTTTGGGGTAGGACAGTTCATACCATTTAGGAGACTACTTTGTCTTACGTACACACAATAGAGAAGATCAGAATAAGGCATGAAGGCACATCTTGAGGTCCCCTCTGAATATATAATCAGGGAGCTTGCTTTCCTGATAGTCATGCAAAGAATGTCACAAAATGCAGGTGATGTTAAAAGGATTGGTGGGGCTTAACTATTCAATTCCGTTGGTTTCATCTCTCCCTGTGCATTAAAAGATAGGCCATGCCTACGAACCTTCTCTGTTTTTAAAAATCTTCAAGAACATGCTGGAGTAGAAATGCTGAGCATGAAGCTGTAGGAACAGCTGTCTTGTGCCATTTAACAAGCTGGGACAAATGCTTTTCTGTAAAGTTTCACAGCAACCACACATGTTATTTACCCATCCCCATTAGCTGACACACAGACTGGAAGGCAGCACCCACTCATTGAAGGACCAGAGCTGCTACTCCTTGGTCATGACATCTTGTCGCTTCATTGTCATGAGGTCTTTCCCATAGATGGCAGGCCCACAAGCCACCTCTGTGTGGACAGTTTTAAGAAGATGGTAATTTTCAAAGCCAAGGCTCCTGTAATGTTACTTTCCTCTTTGCTGTGACAAAAATACCCAGGCAAAGCAACTTAAAGAAGGCTTTATTTTGGCTCAATTTGAGGGTACAGCTCATCAAGACAGGAAAATCATGGTGGCAGACATGTGGGGCTCAATTTTTGCCATTTTGTTGTCTATGGTCATTTAAGGCATAGTAACTGGCTTTAATTAATTTACAGTGTATTTCTACATCTGGTTTGGTTTGGCGTTGTTGCTATTACATTGGTTTATTTTTCCTTTACTGAATGATAATGGGTTTGAGCCCTCCCCCAACCCCCCCCCCCCCCCCACCTCGTGGAAGCATTGTTCACTAGGAAACTCCTAAGTCAGAAGAGACATCCATCTGCACAGGTGCACAAGCCATAGCAGAGAGCAGACACGGACTAACTACCCCTCATGAGGGGTATTCAGAGGCTCATGAAGTACAGTGCGTCATGATTGCCTAGCTCTCTGCATCGCTTGATCCCAGCATCCTCCCTGCGCCAGCCTGCCTCGCTCCTTGGCACCATGACCACGACTACCACCTTCAAGGGTGTGGACCCAACTGCAGGAACAGCCCCCAGGCTTTGAGGCCCCCAGGTAGTGGGTCCAATATTTCATTAGGCTTTGATAAATCAACAGAACAGCCTGTGCTGTTCTGGAAAGTCTGGAAAAGTAATGACAAAAATGCACAGAAGAATGAAAATGGCCTCTAACGTCTCTGGGACAACGCAAGAAAATTCCCCATCTTGGGGCCAAGTTAGCAGGTGCCAAGTCTAGTGGAGACAGGGAAGATTTGGAGTTGCCTGGAATACTGAGAAGTAACTCTTGTGAAGCAAGCTCTGAGACTTCTTAGACTCAAGGGAGAAAGTGAGATGCATGACAATATGGACACAAACTTCCAAGTCAACTTTGGGGAGATGGGAGAGAAGCCTGTGCCCACTCCTCTTCTGCTCTTGTGTCTAGCCCTGTGGTCCTGACCCCAGCACCATCCAGGAAAACCTTCCTGGCAGCAAATCCAGCCTGGTCTTGAGTTAACTTCTTCTGTTGGAACTCTGTCATTCTGTCTGTTTTGTTCATGCTTGTGAACTGCACAATGTGAGCCTGATTGTACATCTTTTGGATTCGTTTCATTAAAAGGGAAGCACGGAAGGAAGGAAGGAAGGAAGGAAGGAAGGAAGGAAGGAAGGAAGGAAGGAAGGAAGGAAAGGAGGGAGGGAGGGAGGGAAAGGAAAGAGAAGAAAGACTATGACAAAGAAGAGCAGCATGACCCATTCAAGATACTGAGATGGGTAAAGTGCTGTATGAAGAATTGAAGCCTTACTTATAAGTTTACAACTGGCAAGATGGCTCAATGCATAAAAGTACTTGATGCCAAGCCTAATAATTAATATAATATAATATAATATAATATAATATAATATAATATAATATAATATAATATAATATAATAAAAATCCAATGACTATTTACTATAGCTGGGAGGGAAAAGTAAGGAGGTCGCTTCAGTATGTAGAGATGGATAAGGGCTTTCTCAGTAAGACAATTCACAAGGGGATCTCATAGAAATATTTTTGTTTCTGTACAACAAAGGAAACCATCGTTCCAATGAAAAGGCAGCACACAGAAGGGAGAAAATCTTTGCCAGCTTTTCTAACAGAATATCAGTGTATAAAACAAAACAAAACCCCCTAAATGTCTTCAGAGTCCTCATAGCTAGTTGTAAACTTATACAAGCACAATGAGAATCAGTACAGAGTTCCTGAAAAAAACTAAAAGTAGATCTGCCTCGTGACTCAGACACACCACTCCTTTACCCAAAGGCTTCCAAGTCAACATACCACACAGACACCTTCGCACCCAGATAAAGGTACACAACTTTCATTTACCAATTTAACAATTAATTAAGAATACATACTTACTTATTGACAGTGTGCAAACAAGAGAAACGTAGATAAAATATGATAAAAGTGTACATAGGTATTAAAGTTTTCCAAGGTGAAACTATAACTCATTCACATCATGGAAAGCCAATTTCACTAACAAACAAACAGGAATTAAAGTATAATTTTCCTATTATCATTAGCATTTTTTATGTAAGTCTGGAAAAGTAATGACAAAAATGCACAGAAGAATGAAATATGTAAGTTTTGTTGTTAATTATACAGGTTAATAGTATATAGAGTTCTGTCTATAATCCATCATGGTTGGAGGTTTTTGCTTTTAGAATAAGTGGAATTCCAAGTGACTGGTTTAGTTCATAAAGATACTACTAAAAAAAAAAATCAGTACAATGCACCAGTGTATACCCAGAGCTTTGGAAAATCCTTTGGATGATAAACTCATTAAATGTTTATTTTCTTTTTGTAGAAATGTGCATACAACAAGGAGATCCCAAATATAATATACTCCTGGTGATAATGTGAAAGAAAAAAATCCATGCAAATCACATAATGATTTGAGCTGTCTATGCTGTGATTTTAAGGATTCCTACTATATGCTTCAGCTGGAAGCCAAAGAAGCAAATTCTGAAGACTGAGCACCTCCATCTGTACTCAAATACATGATATGCTTGTGCTCATGGCCTCCCCTAAATCCAGAAATTGAAGCTACTTGCAAACCACTTGACACGTTCAAATCAATATTTATCCCAAGACTTCTACAGGAAATTTCATTTAAAAAAATGGCCCACAAAGCTCTCTTGGTTTTCTGTGTCTTCACTTCATATATGACCTGATTTTTTTTAGTATAGCTGTGAGTCACCATCTTGAATATCTTTATTTTTCTGATGAAATTTATCTTGGTCAATACCATTTACCACAAGTTTATTTCAGCAAAGGACAATTTCTTGAGCCTGAGTTTAGGATGCCAAGAGATGTCCGGGAGACAGCTGACTATATGGAGCTGCAGCTTGGAAGGTGTGTGGAATTGATGCATATAGTTACAGTTGTCAGTTTATGAATGACCTTTGAACCCATAGCTTTAGGGAAGACAAGGTAGAGAGGGTGTTCTAGTCTCATTTCTGTTCCTGTGACAAATATTATTTGGCTCACAATTCCGAGTTTCAACCCATTATTCCAGGGAGTTCAAGGCAGGAACTAGAAACATCACATCCACAATCTATAATAGAGAGAATATACATGTGGATCCTTGCTTGCTCTCTGCTAACTCCTGCTCTTATATTGTTCTGGATCCCCTATTTAGAGAATGGTACCACCCACAATGGATTCAGTCTTCCTATGTCAATTAACAATCAAGACAACCTCCCACAGACATGTTCACAGGCCATTCGAACAAAGATAACTCCTCACTAAGACATCCTCCCAAGTGATTCCAGGCTGTATCAAGTTGACAGTTAAAACTATCCAGCTCAGAGGGAGAATGAAAGATGGCTGAGTTCCTTGATACTCCAACATTCACCATCTCAGACTTGGGGGAACTAGAGAAGGGGTGATTTATTGGGGAGTAGAAAAACCAAGAGAAGCAAGTCTCTTACAAACAAACAAAATTAATCATGGAGAAGTGTAGCAATCTACAGGGAACTATGACCATGCCTATCAGTGATTTTGAAATTTTCAAAAGGATGATGGGACTCCACAATGACGATTTCACATGGACTATGGTAAAACCATTAAGCTGATTAACACCAGGGAAAGATTGACTTTGAACTACAAACTACTCAGGACAATTTGAAATGGCTAGCTGAGATGATTCAGCCTGACAGATTACTGGAACAAGGACTTGAAATAAGCCCTGCATTTTCTCTTTATGTAGCGACTGGACAAATGATACAGGACATGACAATTAACTCAAAAATTTTCTTTTCACGATCCCCTAAAGATGTCTTCACCCACAGAAAGCAGGAAGTAATTTTAAGAAAATGATACCCACACTCCCAAGAGGTGGGATGGGAGGTTTTTGGTCATTTAATGAGTTTTAGATATTGTCATTGTTTACAATGGTTGGTTACAAGTTGTTAATTGTTAATGGTCAGGAAAAAAGCTGAACAAGGAGATTAGATTCAGAGTTTTTGTTTAAAAAAAAGAAAGAAAAAGGAAAGGGAAAAAGAGAATATAGATATGAGGTAGATCATTGAGTCTACTCTGAGAAAAAAAGATAAAGAAATAATAAGATAAATGGGTAGATAAATGAATCTACTCTAAAAAGAAAATGGGGAAGATATAAAAATGACAAAAGGTAGATTATTGAATCTATTATGAAAAGAAAAAAGAGAATATGGATATAATAAGATAAAAAGGGAGATTATGGAATCTACTTTTAAAAAGGAACTACTTGTTTTAAATAGGATAATGAAAATTTTGTCTGAGTTTATCAAATGTTACTAGACTAGACATTGTTATATATTAACAAAGTTTTTCATCTGAACCTATCAAATGTTAATGGACTAGACATTGTTTATGTAAATTTTGACTGTATATGTTGTATATATTTATTGGACAGTTTTTCTTGTATTAGTTATTTTTTAAATTTTAGACAAAAAAGGGGAAATGTGGTGGTATTGTGTTCTCCAAAATATTGTGCACCCTAATAAACTTATCTGGGGTCAAAGAACAGAACAGCCACTAGATACAGAGGCTAGAAAATGGTGGCACACACACCTTTAATCCTAGCATTCCAGAGGCAGAAATCCCTCTGGATCTCTGTGAATTCAAGGCCACATTGGAAACAGTCAGGCATAGTGACACACACCTTTAATCCCAAGAAGTAAGCCTTTAATCCCAGGGAGTGATGGCAGATAGCAGAAAGGTATATAAGTTGTGAAGACCAGGAACTAGAAGCATTTGGCTGGTTAAGCTTTCAGGCTTTGAGCAGCACAGTTCAGCTGAGATTCATTCTATACGAGGACTGAGAGGCATCCAGTCTGAGAAAACAGGATCGGCTGAGGAATTGGCAAGGTGAGGTAGCTGTGGCTTGTTCTGCTTCTCTGATCTTCCAGCATTCACCCCAATAACTGGCCTCAGGTTTGATTTTATTAATAAGGCCTTCTAAGATTCCTGCCACAGATAAGGGAGTCAGCAACTGTGGTTTTCACGGGTCCTGTGCCACAGGATCATGATGGAGAAAGGGTCATTGGATTGAGCAACTTGTCATCAAGTTCTAATTTCAACATAGTCATGGGGTTGAAAGTCTGGGTAGGGTTGCTTTAAGAGAGAAAGGAGTGGAATAAAATGAAAGCATGAGAGCAAGTAACTTCTTTGAGATTTCCCTCCAAGGGGAACCAAGTCATGTCATAGCAGCAATGGAGAAATGGCTATTTTGGTATGTTTGGATTTCTATAATGAAACTACCACAGAATAGGTGGCTTATAAGCAACAAAACAGTTCCTTCTCATAGTTCTGGACACATCTAGGTCCAAGATCAAGGCACTGACATGTGTGGAAGGACCATCTTCTAACTGTAACTTCACATGGAGGAAGGAGTGAGAGGTCCCTGGGTTTTCTTCAGTTGGACCCAGTTCATTTATGAGGGCTCCACCACCTTCCAAAGGCTCCATCTTGTAATATCATCATGCTGGGAGCTAAAAATTTAATACACAAAATTTAGGAAGAATATAAACATTTGGTCCATTTCAAGGGCTAAGGATGAATTTTCAAATTGGGTATTTTTTTTGTTTGTTTGTTTTCAAGTCAGGGTTTCAGTGATTCAATAGAGAATGCAAACAGATTTTGTCCACCTAGAGGGCTAGTCATGGGTGCCCCAAGTTTATTTGGCATTTTATAACCTCTTTCAGTTCACTTCCATAATAATCCTGGAAGGCAGGAACTGTCTCTACAGATGAGGAAAATATGATGTATTAAGGCTTTATAACTTGTTGGGACACACACTATCTTTATGTCCATCAACACTGCCACCAACGCCCTCTCCCAAATGAATACACACAGCCCAGTGCTACATCATTTGGAGGGTTCATTTAAATGTGCTGCACCTACCTCTGGAATTCTCTTTTCATCTGGCATTGAACTTTTATAGCCAATTATCCTTGCATTCTCAGCCAGGTAAATGGTTTCTGCCAAAGGTGTGGAATGCCTTGTGCCTGGAGGGGAATTCATATTTCGAAGTCATTCCTAGAGAGATAAGAGAAAGTTGCTGTCAGAGCCCTGGGTTCAAATACCAAGTACATGTCTTCATAGGGGCCTGTGTAGGGCCCACTTTAAACTGTGTTTTCAACTGCACATCAGAATGAAGGGGGTTGCAGAGCTAAATTGAAGCAACAGCATTCCACAAATTCTTTCTTAAAATATATTTATTTATTTATTTACTTTGTGTGGTGAGATGCAGCCACGAGTGCCAGGGTCATAGATGTGGAGGTGAAGGGACAACTTGAAGGGTTCGATTCTCCTCTTTTAGCATGTAGGTCCTAGGGATCAAACTCAGGTCAATGGGCTTAGGAACAAATGCCTTAACCTATTGAGCTCTCTCTCACTGGTGCCTTAAATACTTGCTGTTTCCGCGCATTCAAAGGGGTTAAATTGAAACAATATCTCTCTCTTTTTAATATTTTTATTTTATAATTAACTTAATTTCACATATCAGCCACGGATTCCCCCATCCTCCCTCCTCCCACCCCCAGCCCTCCCCCCCCATCCAATCCACCCCCATTCCCACCTTCTCCAAGGCAAGGTCTCCCCTGGGGAGTTAGTCCAGCCCTGGTAGACTCAGCCGAGGCAGGTCCAGTCCCCTCCTCCCTACGCCAAGGCTGAACAAAGTGTCCCAGCATAGGCCCCAGGCTCCAAAAAGCCAGCTCATGCACCAAGGACAGGTCCTGGCTCCACTGCCTGGGGGCACAGGGACAAATAGCCAAACTAATGGAAACACATGAACTGTGAACCAATGGCTGAGGAGCCCCCATGGAACTGGACCAGGCCCTCTGGATAAGTGAGACAATATCTCTTATGGTAGAGTAGAATAATACTCTGATGAATTTGTTGGGATTGAGAAATTCTTCAAATAGTTATTTCAAATTCTTCCTACAATAAGGTTTCCTACATAACCAAGCATCCACCATCCAGTGGTTTCACTTTTCAGGCACAGGACTTACATAACTCACATCCTCTTTGAACCTCAGATTTTCACCTATCCTAGTAGAAACCAGTATTTTTGACTGCTTTGTAAACATTAGATGGCATGAAGTGTAGGAAGATTCTGGAAGCTTCTTCATAATTGACATGCATCATCTCCAACCTTGTAGGTTCCAAAAAGATCTAGACATTCTCTTTGTGCAAAGTGGGTTTTCTTTAAAATTTTAATTGGTATGCATTTTCCATAAGTGGTATTGGGTTACATAAAAATTCTCATACAAGAATATAATGTACATCAATACCTTCTCCCACTGAGCAGCCATCCCCATTTTTGATTAGTCTCCCCCAACCCAGATAGTTTTGCTTCTACTTCCAAGTCATGTGTACATATTTTTATGTATCTATATAAAATATGAGAAGTACAAATGAGAGAAAATAGTAGTATTTCTCTCTGTCACTGACCTAATTTACTTAGTTTGTTTATCTCCAGTTGCATCCATTTCTCTGCAAATAATGTAATGTCACTCTTCTCTATGGCTGGAAAGGTTCCATTATATTTGCATCATATTATCTCATCTGTTCCTCTGCTGATAGACACTTATATTAAGTCCTTACTTTAGATCCTGTGAGTGGTATGCAATAAATATTAACTGGCAAATAGCTCTGTGATTTTTGGACTTTCAGTCCTTTAACTGAACACCCAGAGGTGGTATACCTAGGTCTATTGTAATCTATGTTTTAATTTTTGAAAGATTCCCAAACTCTTTTCCATAGTGGATGAACAGTTGCCTTTCCCACCAGAACTGTATAAGAGTTCCCGTTTGTCCAAATCCTTGCAAGTATTTACTATTAGTTTCCTTAGTAACTGGAATTCTGATTAGGGTGAGATAGAATCCCAGAGTAATTATAATTTGCATTTCTCTGACTGCTGATGATATTGAACATTTTTTTCATGTTTATTTTCCATTTGTATTTCATCTTTTAAGAATTGTCTGCTCAGTTGCATTTATGTGTTTACACACACACACACACACACACACACATTAATTGATGAAAAAAGAGGCCATAAATTTGAAAGAGAGCAAGGAAAGGGGTATATGGGAGGGCTTAGAGGTAGGAAAGGGATATGGGAAATGGTGTAAGTACATTATAATCTCAAAGAGTAAAAGAATCTCTTTTTAATGAACTGTCTGCTCATTTCATTAGCCCACTTATCGATTAGGTTATCTGATTTCTTGCTATTTTGTTTTTAAGTTATATGTATATTTTAAATAATAATGCTCTGTTGGCTGCACAGCTAGTTAAGCTTTTCCCCTGTTCTGTGGGCTGTTTCTTCACTTGTTTAACTGCTTCCTTTGGTGTACAGAAGCTTTGTGATTTCATGATATCCCATTTGTCAGTTGTTGGCATTGTGTCCTGAGCAGCTGGACTTCTATTCAACACATCCTTCCATGTCCTTACATCCTGAAGAGTTTTCTCTACTTTTTTTCTAATAATTTTGGAGCACCTTGGTCACTATCAGGTGGCTGTACCTGTATGTACTTTGTATCTGGCTCTTCTATCCTAATCATCTGTCTTTCCGTTTTGTATCAATGCCATGCTGGTTTTGCTACCATGGCTCTGTAGTATACCTTGAAATCAGGCACAGTGATATCTCCAGTCTTATTCGTTTTACTCGGGATTGCTTTAGCTTTTCTGCTTCTATATGAATTTTAAATTTGAAAAATAATTCTATTTCTGAGATGCTTCTTCTGTCTTTGTGAAGGATGTCATTGGAATGTTGATGGGCATTGTGCTGAGTCTGTAGATTCCTTTTGGCAGTATATCCATTTTCGCAATGTTAGTCGTCCATTCTGCAAGCAAGGGAGTGGAAGTTTGCATTTTGCAGATAGGAAATGATATTGGCTCTGAACATTCAGGGCAAGTGCTGTGTGGTTTGTCAGTGAATATTTTCAGTGAGTTAAATGTTGCTGCCTCCAGGAAATTCTCTTATTTATTTACTTACTTACTTACTTACTTACCTATTTTGTTGAAAACATATATGTTTGTTAGATAAAGATAATACTATACATATTTCAGATTCAAATGTTCTTGTGGTTGTCTCTATGACATTGCTATTTTATAGCATTTGTCCTGACATTCAAGGGACCTGGGCTTGTGTTACCTTTAACTTCCATGATAAACATTACATATGAGTTAAATTTTTAGATTCCTTCATCAAAAGTTTTACTACCAATATTTAAGACCAGAGTGTGTTGTTGGCTTTTTTTCTCTCTCTCTCTTTTTTTTTTTTGCTCTTTGAGGGGTCTGCCACCCAGCTCCCAAATAAATCACATGGAGGCTTATTCTTATTTATGAAAGCTCAGCCTTAGCTTGGCTTGTTTCTTGCCAGATTTTCTTAATTTATCCCTTATCTACCTTTTGTCTCTGGGCTTTTACCTTTCTCTATTTCTGTATATCTTTCTTTTCCTTCTTATTTCATAGATGGCTGTGTGGCTGTGTGCCTGGCCCCTTCTTTTTTCACTCTTTGATTTCTCTCCTCTCTCCTTTTCTCCTTCTATTTATTTTCTCTGCCTGCCAGCCCCTCTTATCTTTTATCCTGCCTTGCTATTGGCTATTCAGCTCTTTATTAGACCAATCAGGTGTTTTAGACAGACAAAGTAGCACAGCTTCACAGAGTTAAACAAATGCAACATAAAAGAATGCAACACATCTTTGCATCATTAAACAAATGTTCCACAGCATAAACAAACGTAACATATCTTAAAATAATATTCTACAACAAGTGTGCTTTGGTTAATAGAATGTTCTTAATCTGTAAAGTTCAACAAATTCATCTGAGGTGAATAATAAAAAACAGACTCTGCCTTTGGAAGTTGAATTTTTGTTTTGCCATAATCTGATGTGAATGGTGAGTTGTTTGTCTGACATACATGAGACCTGGTTACCAACACCACACTTCAAAAAAGGAAAAAAGGAAGAAGCAGCAGCCCTTCACTTTTCAGTTCCAGTAAGTCTGCACACCCTAAGTATAGTACAGGTTGTAGAATTCAAGAAGTGGTGGAAGGTTGAATAAAATGGAAAATAGAAAAAGCAAAGCAAATGAAAAGTACCACAAAGAACATAGCATGTCCACATTTCAGCAAAGAGGAAAAACACATCAAGATTATAAACTATGTAGGCCATTTTCTCCCATTAAGAAGCAGCCAACCCCTTCTACTAACATAAATTTACCTCTTATTAGCATAGATTTCCAAAAAACACTAATGAGGTTGCTTCTTGCTTATTTCTTCATACTGTGATATCAAATGAATTCCTTTTATTGGAAGTAATCTAACAAAATTAATCAATATGTGATGGTATTTAGTTAAGATAGCGTGTTGCCTAAAGTTGTTTTGGAAGAACCAGTGTTTACATCAGAACATGTTTAAGATATGTTAATTTTAAATAGACACAAAATGGGTAGCACAAACTTATTTGAATCTGGAGATGGTTGGGGGAGGAGCTCAATTGGTAGACTGGTTGACTAGCATGCACAAAGGCCTGGGTTCGATCCCCAGCACCACATACACTGGGTGGGCATGGAGTTACAGTCCTGTCATTCCAGTACTGAGGAGGTAGAGGGAGGAGAATCAAAAGTTCAAGGTCATTTTTTACTGTATAGTGGGTTTGAGGCTAGCTTGGGATAGAGACCCTGTCTCTAAAACAAACAAAACCATCAAAAAAATCCCTCCAAAATTATATGAATTTTGCATGCTTATAATGAGGTGTATACATTCTTATATCATCACATGTAAGACAAAAGTGTGTAAATATAGACAGAGCACATGGTTGGAGAAAAGCACGGAGACCGATTCAGTAAATACTCTGTTTCTGTGTATAGAGCCTTCTCACATGTAGCTCTATTTGAAAGTGTCTTAATGCCATTTCAACTCAGTGTGTGCACATGTATGTATATCTGTTGATGGGGAAAGCATTTAGTATTACACTATGAGCACTAAAATAAACTAAGTACCACCAAAATAAAGCCCTAAAATATTTCAAATACTAAATAACAAAAAATCCAGACTCCCGCTATTCAAGACTACCTGCCCCCATGCTCTCAAGAAACCAACAGCTCGTCATACCACAGGCATCAAAACTACTGTCCAGGGGCCCAAACCAGCCCTGGAGCCATTGTATTGTGATCTCATGAACTAAAAATGAGCTTTACATTGTTTTGTCTTTTGTTTTTTCATTGTGTGTGTGTGTGTGTGTGTGTGTGTGTGTGTGTGTGTGTGTGTGTGTGTGTGTGTGTTTCAGTACTGAGATGGAACCAGGGTCTCTGTGTATGCCTAGCAGGTCCCTTTTTACTGAGCTATAGCTCCAGCCCTCCTGACTCTTTTTATTTTGAGATGAGAAACTTTTTTTTTTGAGATGAAACTCTCAGTAAGTTTCCGTCTGATTTTGATCTCACTTTTAGCTCAGGCAGGGCTTGAAAGTGTGATTCTCCGAACTCAGCCACCTGAGGAAGATTTTCCGCTCTTTTCGTTTTTATGATTTTGGAATTTGCACATACACTTTGTTTCGGTGATTCTCCCTTGCTCACCTGTCTCCTCACCTTCCTGTCCCTCTTTCCCTCTGATGTATACTTTTGTCTCGAGTGTCCCTTTCCACTGGAATAGCGCATGTGTGCTGTGCCTTCGTCACAGCCTCTCTGAACTGTTTATTCCATATCATGGGCCCCTTTCTACTTTTCTGGATTTTATCCAAGATTCACTGTGTCTTTTTAACTATTTTATGCTTCAGGCTTCTTTAGGGACCTCACATAGGCAGTTCAAAGTTAAGCTACAGTCAACCCTGAATTTTGCAGTTGCTCATAATGTGGCGATCAATACAACCACTCACACAGAACATACCACAGACAAGAGCAGATAAGATTGCAAGCCATGATTGTAAAAGGAGTGTTTCCATATTGGTACAGAGTGTGAGGGGTGCATATTTAAATTCCCAAATCAAAATAGACTTAACCTTAAACAAGTAGACATCATTCTTTTCAGTGAACAACAATTGGCTCCAAGCTATAGGTGGAAAAACATGCACACCGTGAGAGATTATCTGTAACTTATTAAGAATGCTAAGATGTCTCCGTTGATTCCTCCCCTGAAATGACAGGAGAAAACAGAGTGTATGTACTAGTGACTAAATAAATGTTCCTAATCCTCAACTCAAATAACAAGCAACTCCCCAGACCTGTCGCTCTGACAGATCTGCCTATTCAAAGAAAAATACCCCCAACAAACTGCCCAAGGAAAGAAAATGTCATGTCAGTGCACTGGCAGCTTACGACAACTTTCTGAGGAACTAAAACAGGACAGCGACTGATTAATAAACCAAATACACGGTTCTATTGGAGAATGCCAACCTCATCAAGAAGCAGTATTTACATCAAATGATCTCCCTGGTAGGATTTTGTCAGAGAGATTCTAAGGCTGGGTCTGCATCATGCCACTGTGTATTATAACTTTATGTATGGTCACACTGCTGCTTAACCTATGAATGCAGGCTTCAAGTGACAGATCAGTTGCAGATCAATCATGCGCACAGGCGGTCATTCCAGGGATATGCTTTACAGGTTCCAGGAACTGTGTTAAAATACACTCTTGGAACATAGAGAAAAATAAGATGAGTCCCATTTCTCCTAGTACCTCACAGGGTGATGTGCAGACAGTTGTGCAAGTAAATACCTTCAGTCTCAGACTTAAGCCTCTCAGGGCAGTAGTGTTGCCCTGAGAGGGTTGTGTCATTATAGAGTCTGGGAGCAGTACCCTTTGGAGGTGGTCCTAGAACAAATCACCTGCAGCGGCTCAGGAGGTCTGGAGCTACGGTGGAGGGTGCTCGGGTGAAGAAGTGTGGGCTGCAATAGCAAAGCATCAGAAGGGGCTAATGTTCTTCTAGTGTAAGATGTTGGGCATGACAGGGACCTGAGAGACTCGAAATGTATTTGATTTGGAAGACTATGACAAGGTCAATTGCATGCTGACTTGAACAGTTACACAGCTGAGATCAAAGTGGTTTCTTTGTGAATAATGCAAACCTGTCAGTCATTGACTAGTCATCCTGGGGTAGATGGGAATGAGTTGAGTTGCAGAGTGTGTGTCTACTCTTCGTAGTGATGCATACAAAGTGATGCATACGCTTTCCCATACATGGAAGTTCTTTATTTGTGGATTAAACAAACTTTGGATGCAAATATCTAGAAAAATGCATCATTACCAAATACATACAGACTTCTTTTGCTGTTATTGTTCCCTAGATAATCTAATGTGGCAGCTCCCTCCATGACAGTCACATCGTGCTAGGTATTGTAAGTCATCTAGAGACAATTTAAAGTAGATGGAATGATGTGCACAGCTGACATGCACAAGCTAATGCCATATTATATATGTGACTTGAACATCTGGATTCTGAGGGACAGTTGAATACCTTGTGTTCACTGTGTGGGCTCATAAGAGTATGTGCCTAAAAATAAGGATGACATCTTCTTTCCCAAGGATCTGGGACAGTATTTTATCCTATAAAAGGAGGTTATTTGTCCACACTACAATGGCATTCCAAATTAGACTGATTCAAAATTTAATAAAATAAGTTCATATATGCCAGGCTGTCACCCATACAGTAGACAAGAGAGTGTGCATGCCTTCTGCTGGAGCCTCAGCTAGCAGGCAGAATTCTGCAAAAGAGACTGAGTGTCTGGCCTCACAGGAGCATTTGAAATCAAGAGTGGGAAAAGGCGATGGAGTGAGAATCAGTTTGGTCGGTTGATTGACTGGGTTTTGGTTTTGTTTGTTTGTTTGTTTGCTTGCTTGGTTTTTTTGTGGATTTTTTTTTGTTTTTGTTAAAAATCTGGTCTATGTGCTGCCTGACCGCTTCTTTCTACTCAAAACCATGAGACAAGACAGGCAGAAGAGATAAATAGCCCTCGCAGCCTGCTGAGGGCTGTCAATGGAGCCACAGGGTGATGTCAGGGATCTGAGAGCCACTGTGCAGACTCTGTGGCCCTGAGGCAGGGCTGCTCTGTATGAATTCTAGGGATGCAAGCTGACCAGTTAGGATCTTCTCAGTAGGACCAGGACCAAAGAACAAACTCAGAATAATCAAGATGAATCCAGAGGGAATGTGATGAGTGAAGTCTTTGGCTCTGTGGCCTCAGGGTGAATCCCTCAGGAATTGTAAGGTTAAAGGGTCTCTCCAAGACCTTCCCTTAGGTTAAAGCAAAGGAGCAGCCTTCCATGCAGAGTGGAACTGTGTTGCATTGGAATTAGGATCACACAGAACAACACTAAGCTTCCAAACAGGTGCCAAAGCAACAACATAGCTTTTGGGGGGTGGGGTGGATTGGGGTGGGGTGGGGCGGCACAAACAAATAAACTGAAAACACCAGAGTTCTATTAAATTTCAAAGATGTAGAAGGTTCAGACATCAAGGGGGAAAAAAATAGAAAAGTGCCCAAAAAGTGACAAAGCAAAGTGGAGCAGAGTCATCAAAGGAGACAACAGTGTTGTAGACAGAATGGCTCCATCCTTAGTGAGGGAGGTGGACTGGGAATGAAGGAGACACAAACTGAGAGAGGAGAGATGTGACAGGAAGAACACAGTAAGGCATGGAGAATCATATGTGTATGATTGGACATATATGTGTATATAACAAATGAGTATAAACTTGCATGACAAGAACAACATTCAAATCGAGAATGGCATTGTCTGTGCGGTTAAGGCCCAGCATCCACTGAGAGCTTGCCATAGAAATGGCAACTGGCTAGGATGACAAGAATAGAAATAGAGTGTACACTCACTGTGACCTGGAGTCTTGGTTCTAGAGCCCAGGAGCACTCAAATCCAACCCCAGAGCCCACTCCTTCTTAAAATGACAGGAGACAATTTACCTCTCAGGTATCAACGTCTTCATAGAAAATGTGCTATGGAATAAAATTAAAGGAAAATGAGCAGGTTAAAAAAAAAAGCTATAAGGTTTTACATGGGAAATCTCAAAAGGTGCGGCTCTTATCACTAGGTCCACACTTAGTTGGGACCACTTAAAAGAGATTATAAGTATACTCATTAATTAGAATTCAGAGTTCAAGGTCATTTTATACCCAGGAACTCTGTTTGGCTTCTCCAAAATTTCAGGTGTAAGTTCTGGTACAGGCATCTCCTTACCTTTTAAGTAATCTGTTCAGAAGACAGGGTACAATTTTTCATCTCCAACCTGCAATTCTTTGGGACTCTTCATTACTGCTAGTCATGCAACTGAATTAAGTAGGAGAAGGAGTCTCCAAGCACAGACAGCTACTAATGGGAAATATAATGGAACATGAGACCAGAAAGACAGCTTTGGTTATTGTAGGAGTTCTAACATTTTCTAAATGTGTCAGCCTGACAATGTGGTATTTCAATAAGGGGTTGAGTCATGAATCCATTTCAATTACTACACAAAAGAACAAAAATCGTACGTGACAGTAGACCATGAACTCTCTACTGCAGCTAAATCTGCACCAAGAAAGGGCAGGGGTTGTGTGCTGTCTTAGCAATGTAGTAAAGGGCAGTACAGTGAGTGAAAGCCAGGTGTGGTGGTGGTGGTGGTGGTGGTGGTGGTGTGTGTGTGAGAGAGAGAGAGACAGAGACAGAGACAGAGATGCAGAGAGACAGAGAGAGATGGAGGGAGAGAAGGAAGGAGGAAAGGAGAGGAGGAAAATAGCAAAAAAGAAAAATTGAAAGAGACACTGTATATGGTGTATTGTATCAACCTCTGTTCCATCCTGTTAATATTATTAATAATAGCATCATAGTGATAATAATAATTATATCAACAATGGGCAATGGCTGAACTTTGAATGAACATAATTACCAGGCAGTAAGCATCAGTGTAGCAGTTAAGGAAGATAACATACTGAAGGAATGTGGATGTCTCAGTCTTCAAACTGAGAAAAAAACAGTGTTTCTTTTGAAGAGAGGAGTGTAGAAAGGATGACCCCCCTGCTTCCAAAACACAGCCTGGAAAGGAGCAGGGTCTTGATTTTACTTTAACAATATTTGTTGTTTCATGAACCTATGTTTCATTATCCCGTGCGCTAGAAAGTTTCATTAGCCAGGCTCCTCCAGCCAGGTAAGAAAACGTGTTCAGGCCACAGGTGTTGTTCTGATGTACACACATACGCTTTTGTCAGCAAAAAGTTAAATACATCCCAAGAGCAGACAGGCTTTTCTCAGCTGAAGTGTTCTTCCTAACAGAGCTCTCGTTAGAAAGCCAATGTAAAATGTGACAAAAAGAGACCTTAGCCCTTGTTCTGGCCCCAGAAAAGACCCCGGGAAAGAGTCCTTCAAATCCCCAAGGAAAATGCTCTCCTTGGCCCTGGGAGGGCTCAGCCCCAGGCAGGAGAGCTTTGCTCTCCATCACTAATCCACTCCAGGGCTTTTGTCTCCAAGCATTTGTCCCAGGCACCTGATAGCCTCGACTCATCAAGCAACTTCCATCTAGTGCTTTACTTGATTTCTGTACTTTTACAACTCCTAATTTTAACTGTCCCAGATGAAAAATTGCATTGAAAATGCAATTATAGAAAAAAATGAAGAGCAGAAAATGACTTTGATCATTCATCTCCATGTGACACTGTGTCCTTTGCATACTGAGTCTGCGTTATGCAGTACAGAGTCATGAAGTTTTTGGTGGCTTGACACTCAGGCACAGACATGAACAAAGATCAGGATGTGATTTGAATAGTAATAAAAGATGGGATCATGAATGAGCAAGGTCTTAGAAATAATAGCAACTTAACACCAGGAAGGAAAGGATGAACAGTTTTGCAAATGAAGTATAAAGTAATGGAAAAGGTTAAGATTTAATGACATAAAAATTTAAAACCTCAAAAAAATAGCAAGATTAATTAACAAAAAGTAAACTTTAAAGGGTGTAGGCACATGATAATAAGCTAATATTAATGTCCATAATACAGAACATATGATCTAAGTCAATTTTTCATAAGTTACTCTGTGAAAACACATGGAGAGGGAGGAAAAGGGAGAGAGAGAGATATCTAAAACATCCAGATACTATTTCATATATATTTTATGTGTATAATTTGTTTACAGAGAGTATCAAAAACACAAACACAGAGGGAGATAGTTCTAAGATTATCTTAGTTTGTTCAGATTATTAAAATAAAATTGCATGAACTGGATAACTTGTAGACAACAGGAATTACTGCTTGAAATTCTGGAAGCTGAGATGTCTGAAATCAAGGTGACAGCGGATATGGTGCCTGGAGACAGCACCTTCCTCGGGGTATTCTTGTTGTGCTGTAAATGAGGTAAATGAGCTCTCTGTGATGTCTTATAAAAAGGTCCTAATGCAACTGTTGAGGAAACCACTACATAACTGAATCAGTCTCCAAGTCCATACCTCCTGATATCAATGCACAATGACAGCGATCCTTTGTGTGAGCTCATATCACAACTGCTGCGGTGTGACATCACTATGATCCATTGTACCAATGCAATGCTCTGTTATGATATCATGGTGACCAATGTGCCATCATAATGCCATTTTGTGACATCCAAACCTCCAGTGTGATGTCACCATGTTGCATTGTAGTATCTTAAGTCTCCTTTTTTTGATATCACAATGATGCTTTGTGACAACATAGAGCTCCAGCGTGTCTTCACATTACTTTATTATGATGTTATAACACTCCATTATGACACCACGAATCTCTATTATTTCATCACAGTGCTTGACATTACGAAGATCCATTTTGCCATCTGAATGTTTCATTATGAAATCACAATGATCAGTTGTGTTATCACAATGATCCATTGATACATCACAATGCTTCACTATGCTACCACAATTCTACATTGTGACAACACAGTGCTCTTCTCTGTCATCACGATGCTCCATTGTATCCTAATAATTTTCTGTTTTGATATCACAACACTGATATTAATCATCATAGTACTCCACTGTGTCATCACAATGCTCCACTATGACTGCACAATCCTTCAATGTGGGAGCAAATGCTCTAGTGTGACTTCACATTGCATCAGTGTGTCATCACAATGCTCCACTGTGTCATCAAAATGTTCCACGTTCCACTATGATTTCACAATGCTCCAGTGTGACTTCACAAATGTTTCACTGTGACTTCAAAGTGCTCTATTGTGATTTCAAAATGTTACATTGTGTTGTCTCAATGTTGCACTGTGACAGCACTTTGATGAATTGTGGTATCATAATGTTTCATTGTGACATCACAGTGTCATATTCTTTAATTTTACCATCACAATGTTGAATTGTGACATCATAATGGTCCACTCTGCCATCACAATGCACCTTGGGAACTAGAACTTTGATGTATTAATAGGGATAACCATTCAGAATATAGACCCCTCACTCCAACTATTCTATCATCTATCTATCTATCTATCTATCTATCTATCTATCTATCTATCTATCTATCTATCTATCTATCTATCATCTATCCATCTATTCCCTGGCACAAATTGTGTAAACCAAGCTGGAAGTAATTTTAGAGAGCAATCCTGGTGCTTGTCCTGGCGCTCTCACTTTCTTACTCTTAAAAGTGGCTTTCATATCATATTACATTTAAAAGTTGTTTAACTACTACTTCAAAAACAAACATTTCTATTGTATCATGTGAAGCCAGGATCCTCTAGGTTTTCCTCTTATCGTCTCAGACTTTCTTCTCTGTTTACTCTCAAAATGTAGGAATATTCTAGAGCCAGGATGCTGGACCTCTAAGATTGTGTCTCTCTAAAGAGAGAAAATCTTTAGACAGGCAGAGAGACAACTGAGATCAGAGTGCTGTGCCTTCCAGTGAAGGAATATCAAGGAATCTGAAGAAAGGCATTCTCTTTTGGATACTCTGAGAGCATAGCCCTGCTGACAAATCTTGGCTTCCAATTTAAGCTTCTACACTTGTGAGATAGCATGGTCTTTTTGTTTGTTTCAATATGCACAGTTTGGGGAATTTTGATATCGCAGCCTGGTGGAACAAGTCCACCAGTCATACACAGTATTAATTCCCATGAGCTATCTCCAACCCTGACCAAGCCTGACTTACCCACTGCATATCTGATGGCTCATTTAACTTATCTCTAAATGTTAAAAAGGTACCTCAAAACAGAAAATGTAGTTCATGCACTATAACCATTAGCCTTCTTATTTATGTTAGTAAATTGTCCGCTATTCATTCAAATTGCCCACAATTCGTTTAGTTTGCTGATGATAAAAACTTAGGTATCGTTCTTGATTTCTTCCCTTTATCTGCCCCATGTCCAACCATCACATAAGAAGGTTTTGTCAGCTTTATTTCCAAGAAAGATCCCAGATCTGTCCTTCCTTTCCCTTGGGATTGCCCTCACCCCACCAGGAGTCCTCAGCACTGGCCTGTCCGGACTGTCAACTGATGCTCCGGATTGGGCTGCTGCCCACCCTCACCAGCAATGGTCCTGAACAACAAGGAGTCCGTCAGAAGTCGGTTTCTTGCTTACACTCTTGCCTTTATAATATCTATGATTTATTTCTTTATTGTGAACTGCAATATGAAGGAGATAACCAGAAAATCTTCAACTGTTTACTCGGCAAGCCCATCGATTAATCATTCCTCATGGACTCCCTACTATATGCCAAGGAATAAAAAGTCAAATTATGGTAGGTTCCCACTGGCAGAAATTCAGACTCAAAACATAAAATTGTAGCATAAAAGCAAGTAATGTATAGAGGATTAGAATGCAATGCTTCAAGAGCAAAAATAATGTGATAAGTGATATAGTGATGGTTAATAAAACCTGTCCACAACATTTCACACAAGACAAATCCCAATGGCTGTTACTGCCTGGATAGGAGAAGGTTTGGCTGAGCACTTCAGTAATTGGGGTGCTTTAGGTAACAACAAGAACAAAAGAGGGCTAGGTGCTTACTCCAGGCACTGTGCCTCTTGCTGGCATGGCCTATGATATGGACGCTCTATTAATTTCTGAGGGGTGCTGTAACAAATGAGTCCAAACTTGGTGGCTTAAACAAATGAAACTTACTGAAGCAGGTTTTTCAGGAGGGAAAGCTCAATTTGTATGGGCTGAAAACCAAGGAATGAGATGATTCTGTGTCCTAATCCAGATCCACTGTCATCTTATACAACAAAGACTTTTTGTACATGATTGACTTCAAGTGGCAAAAGTCCATTCCCTGAACCACTATGGCGAAGCACGTCTTGCTTCTTTGGCATTTGGTGGCTGCAGCCCACCTTGTCTT